AAGAAAGAAACGAAGAAAGCGCAAATGCTCCAATTCTCCAGCTGTTTTTTCAATGACATCACTAAAAGTCATATATTCGAAGTATGTGGTTTGGGCTTCCTGTGTCAARGATTAAGGCACTTTATCTGAGAAGTAATGTAGAATGTATCGAATGACACGATATTACAAACTGTTTTATCATTGGGCGGTAAGTAACATGATACAATTCAATCTACTATCAAATCTGTTACTGTTACAGAAGATTATACACCGTCTTAATTCCATTTCTGCTTCCAAAAACCCGAACCTCTTAGCATATGGTTCATGAATAGACAATTTTTGGTATTCTATTCAAAAAACCAGTAGAGTGCAATACGTCCTTACGGTTGCTAAGCAATCGTTCCATTAATTGTGATTCGACGCGTGGATTTTGTCTGTTATTGCAGAAAACACGAGTCAGATTATCTCTCGTCTTGAAAGACAGAAAATRTCTCACTCGAAACGCCTGATAAAACTACAATATACGTTTAGAATCCTAGTAAATACGTTCAAAAATTTTCAGATTGCTGTTGTAGGGACGAATTGGTTAGCACCGAGAATATACAGTAGCTTGGAAGTGCACTTATCGACGAAGTATTTACCTCAAGCGTAAAGAAATATAAGGAAGCTCCTGATTAAAGACGGTTAAAGATCCTGCACTACCAACCACGACAATGAAGAGATTCTTGCAGTCTGCTTTGACCTTAGGTTTCTTTCTAGCTTTTCTTTACCGAGGTAAGTGAAAAAACCTATGTCCATAAACTATTTGTAAATATGTTTCACATAACAATGGCTTCCTGCGTGGAAAATATGTTTCTTAAGTTATTAAACAATTACAGAAACAGAATAAATGACTTTATTATTCGTCTACAAACACAAAGTTCTGTGTAGTAGATTTATTTGCTAAAATTACGAGAGTGGTTTCGCGAGGATTTCAGTATTAAGTAAACAATGTTTTGGACTTGAACACAATTAATATTTCATAATCTGTGACTCTGAAAATTGCAATATAACAAATATAGAACTCATTTTATTATCGATGAGGTTAGTTAATAATCCCTTGAGTATTTTAAAACTGTAAAAGGAAACCAAGCGATAAATACTGAGGGGAAAACGTTTTTACAGCTTTGACTATTCGAATGGCCTTATAATAATTCCAAGTTAATTTTTAACCAAATAAATCGCCTTTTTCAACATAAAAAAAAATCATTTGAATTTTCTGCTATTTATTAACGCTTTTTTCTTAATACTTTTGAAAACATTTTAAACATTGGTTGTTCTTTCGTCTTACTATAAATATCAAGCTACAGATCTGGTAAAACCTTACCAGATTTAGCCTATTGGTAATCAAATTTTAACTCCAAGAAGGTGCGCACGATATTTTTCAATACTGTTTTTGATTGGTGTTGATAAGAGAGGCGGATTTTTGTGATTTCAGTCCTATATTAAGTGTAACCTTTGTATCTTATTAAACCTTGGTGATGCATTGAGTAGTACTTGAAGTGCACTTAAGGTTAGAAGTCAGACGGGGAGTTTATTGGTGATTGGTGATTTGAGTTCCGTGGTGTATTTATAGCCACCTCACGTAGTATGAAGAACATGTTCTAGTGTTTTATTGCATTGTTTGATCCATTCATCTCATCTATCCTCCCATCCCATCTATTTCATTCACTCTTCCATCCATCCCTCCATCCATCCATCCCTCCCTGCCTCCCTCCCTCCCTCCCTCCCTCC